ATTCTTCAAAAGTTTGGTAGGAAGTCTACGCTATCTAACTTGCACGAGACCCGATATTCTTCACGCAGTTGGATTGGTTAGTCGCTACATGGAATCCCCAACAACCACCCATTTTAAAGCTGCAAAGAGAATTCTTCGCTATCTGAAAGGTACAATTGACTTTGGCTTGTTCTATTCAGTTTCTAATGATTACAAGCTTGTTGGATATAGCGACAGTGATTGGGGTGGAGACATAGATAATCGAAGGAGCACTACTGGATTCGTATTTTTCATGGGAGATATTGCATTCACATGGATGTCAAAGAAACAACCGATTGTCACATTATCCACTTGTGAAGCGGAATATGTTGCTGCTACCTCATGTGTTTGTCATGCAATTTGGCTTAGAAATCTATTGAAGGAGATTGGTTTGATACAAGAAGAGCCTACCAAGGTTTGTGTCGACAACAAGTCAGCCATTGCCTTAGCGAAGAATCCAGTATTCCATGATCGAAGCAAGCACATTGATATTCGCTACCACTATATAAGGGAGTGTGTTGCAAGAAAAGATGTGGAAGTTGAATATGTGAAGTCACAAGATCAAGTTGCTGATATTTTTACCAAGCCACTGACCAGCGAAGACTTCTTAAGATTAAGGAACCTACTAGGGGTCACGAGATCAAGTTTAAGGGAGGGTGTTGGATCATAAACTTGATCCATTATGGGAGCCTAAACCCAAACCCAAACTAAATTGATGTCATTACTTACATCATTTAATTAAAGATGTCATTGCTTACATCATTTAATTAATGATGTCATTGCTTACATCAATTTAGTTAGGTGAGAGTTAGATATTTGTTGAATTTGTAATGGTTTAAATTAGTTTATTTGTGTGGTGTAGGATTGTTCTTGAGTAGTATAAATACCCCTTCCCATTTTAGTTTTAAGCATCAAGAAAAATTAAGAGCTTCTAAGTGAGTGAAGAAGCAAAGTCTTATAAGAGTGAGTTGTAGTTCTTGTTTTTGAGTGAGAGTACTCTTGTAATATTTGTTTGAGTTTCAATAAAAGTTGTTTGTGTGAGTGTTTTATTTCCAACAATATATGCTCCTCTTCACTCTTCCTTTCTTCAGACACAGAAGTCTCCTCTTAGTCACCCTTATATATATATTCTCTTTTCTTTTAAGTTTTTCAATGAACCCTTAAAAACAGTTGATCATTTTTTATTTGTCTCCTCTCAAATCCAAATAATGTCTACTTCTTCTCCTTCGTGTTCTAATTGGTCACTTCCTTATGGAAAAAGCTTAAGTTCTTCACTAGAATCCGTGGGTATTTGCAAAACAAAGTGGCAAGTAAACGATCCGGTTCGTCGTCGCCTGATCATTCGAAAAGATTAAGAATAAAGAATGATAAAGGGGAAGATAGTCAGCTAGTCACGGAGAAAGAAACCAAGCTCGATGGTGCCGCGGTGTTGCAGAAATCAGTGAAGAGTCTTCACTTTGGGAGCTTGGAAGAGAAAGAGACGGCGGCCATCGATATCGAGAAACTTGCTAGAGAAGACTATAAGGCGAGGAAGCTGATGGCAGAGCTTGGAGTCGTAAATATGCTTGTTTCCATGGTGGATGCTGAGGTGGTCGGCCGCCATCAAGCTGCCATCAAGGCGTTGATCGAGCTTGCTAATGGAACGTTCATGTAAGTAGCTTCTTCATGTTCTTGTCCTGGAAGATGTATGTTTAATTTTCAATCCATAAAAGGTGCTGCAATGAAAAAAAATTGTTCATAGGACACATGCATTTCATCAGGATAGGTATAAGGGGTACCCCATATGGTTGACCTTTTAAGACCTCTTAGAGGGGATACCCTAATTATTTGACCATTTAAGGGCAGGGTTACCTGACGTTGTAGGTCATTTTGCTATTACAGAAGGGATATTTGGTCCCAGATTCTCAGCTGATTTGTATTTTCTAAGATTAATGACACAATAAAGTACCCTGGATTGTGTAGCCTAACCTTTCCAGGCTGTTACATTAGTTTATAAAATCTCATGCGTTATACATATAATAATAATGTAGGATTATTTCTAGGATCACGAGACTCTGCATTCAATGGATTTAAACTCTTTCAAAGAATTGACCATTGACATTTAAGATTTTGAGATTTGCCATGTGAAATTCAGCATATATAGCTTTAGCCCTAACTCTTAGACATTAATGGGAATGAAAATGAAAGCCTTGAACTATACTCCTTTTTGATTTAATTCCCTAAACTATTTTTTTGTCAAAATAAATCCTTAAACTATTATATGTAACCACTTAGTACCTAAACTATTTTTAGTCAAAATAAATCCCTAAACTATGTCTCTTTTTTGCTTCAAGCCCCTAAACTATTTTTTGGTCAAAACAAATACTTAATTTTGTGTGGCGTGTCAATATCTTTTTGGCCGAAAAACATTTTCTAAGTGAAAAAATGATAGGACTTAAAATGATTAAATATAATAGTTTAAGTACTTAATTTGATTAATATATAATTTAGGGGATTAAAACAAAAAGATAACATAGTTTAAGGACTTTTTTTATTTAAGCCAAAATTAAATGAAATTTACAGCTCATTACATGAGTTGGACTTGAGCTTCAAAGCATTATTTCTTCTAATTAAGCAAATGGTTGTATTTAATGATCTTCTTGACCACGAACTGCGCTGCCTGTCCACCGGGTTCCACTGTGATTGGAGATTTTAATGAATTTATATTTATACAGAGGATTGTTAGATAAAATATGTTTAAAAAAATTAGTCTATTGACAACACGCATACACTGCAAACGTATTCAAATTCAAATCCTTTAAAAGAACAACATTTCATTTTATAATGGAGATCGTTCGTGTGGGAAATAACCCGTTTTCCCCAACATCATTTAATGGATTTATATATGATATTTATATCTAAATTCAAATATGATTGGTTGGTAAATATACTGCGACAAGCTATTTTTTTATTTTCTTTATATTTAGTGAATCTTATTATATGCAATAATGGAGCACTATTGGTTTATCATCTATTATTCAACTGATGTTTAGATGTCATTATTGACTTCAACTTTTGGGTTATAATTGCATTTGTCAAACATTTTATATAAAAAGTTCAGTCACTTTGTGCTTTGATTCCTAACCCTTTTTTGTCTCTTTTTTTTTAGAAACAAGGCTTTAATGCTAGAGGCTGGAATATTGTCAAAGTTACCAAAGGACATTAACGTTGTAGATGAACAAACAAGGTACGATTTTGCAGAACTATTACTATCATTATCTTCAATTTCAAATACCCATTTCTCTGTCAACAAGCCCGAGATCCTCCAATTACTCATTGGCATTCTTGAGCCACCTTCAAGCTCTAAAACCAAGGAACTTTGCGTGTGTGTTATATATAACCTATCTACTGCTCTAGAAAATGCTGCACTTTTGGTGTCTAATGGAATCGTCCACATGCTCTTGAGCCTATGTTCATCGAAAGAGCTTTCGGCATTAGGCCATTTGGTGGTGACAGTAATGGGGAAAAAGGCGATGGAAGATAGTTCCATGGTCCCGGCGATCTTGATCGAGATCCTAACATGGGACCATAAACCGAAATGCCAAGAGTTAGCGGCATATATTCTAATGATTTTAGGTCATCAAAGCTCGAATCAAAGGGATAATATGTCGAAAGACAGGATCGTTCCGGTACTTGTTGAAGTGTCCTTGATGGGAAGCCTTTTGGCTCAAAAGAGAGCAATGAAGTTGCTGTAGTGGTTTAAAGATGAGAGGCAAGTGAAGATGGGACCTCATTCTGGTCCACAAACGGGAAGGGTGGCAATGGGTTCACCAACGCATCCTAAGGAGGGTCGAGAAGGGAAGAAAACGATAGAGATTGGTGAAACAAAGTCTCCATAAGAATATGGAAATGATTAGTAAAAGAGCCAATGCTGGTGGGTGTGTTGATGCTTCTAATCTCAAGTCACTGGTCCTTAGTACAAGCTCTAAAAGTTTGCCTTTTTAGGTCCTTGTGAAAACACTGGTGATCAATTTTCTGGGTTTGGAATTGGGGTGCAATTCTTTTGCAAGTGGGATGTAATTATAACAAATAATGGGGAAGACGATGAAAGTTTTTCTTTGGTAAAAAAGGAACTTTGCCTTTGGTAGAAACAATGGCTGCCATAAATTTAGGAGTTTGGAATAAACAACCAAGCAAAAGAAAATTCTATGTTAAGATCACAATAAAATATTGATAGGAAAAATAATCTAAGACCTTAAAAACAATAATCAGTTTCTTCCTTGATTACAACCAAACCTGTAATTATTAGGAAATGCATGCTCAATAAATGAACTCAAGATTGTTTTCTTGGTTGATGAATATTCTAGAAACATGAGAAGTAAATATTATGTTTTAGTGTGTGTTTATGATTATTCTAGATATATTTCAGTTTTTTTTTTGGGGAATGAAAACTCTTATACGTTTGATTCCTTTAAGAGATTATGTAAGAGGTTGATGAATAAGAATGGATAAGATATTACCAAATGGTCAGGTTCAAGACTCAAGAGTGACCATAGACGAGAGTTCGCGAATAAAAGCTTAGCTAGAATCCAACACGAATTTTGGGTAAATTGCATGGTTCATCATCCAACTATATTGACACTTCTATTTTGACTATTAGAGTTTAATCATTTTCAATTTAATTACTAAATGTTTAAGTTACTCAAATTTAAGTCCCTATTTGGTGATATGAATTTTATTATTATTATTTTTGTTATAACATGATGAATTTATTCATATTTAATATCAAAAAAATAATTTAAAAATTTAATTTTAATCAATCTCAATCCAAACTCTAACCTCTAGTCCAAACCACCCAACATCCACAGCAACCCCTTAGCGCCCACTCAATCACCTCCGACCAAGGATTTAAATAGCATTCCACAATCGTAATAGCGTCTGTTATATAGTGTTATTGGATTTAAACATTTGCTATATTCACAATCGTGATAAACACAATATAACCGAAAACATGACCACAACTGCTATTTAAATCTCTGCCTCAGACCTCTACCACTACTGCGCCAACTCTTTCCATGGAACTACTATTTCTTAATTAGCGGTTCCATGTGCACTTTCTTTCCCCCACCACATTATCCTCTATTGTCGCTGCTCCGTCTTAGCACGCTGTTATCCTCATGCAAAAATCGCCATGGTCAGTATGAAGGGCAAATCTAAAGGCATAGCTTGGTTCGGAAACATTTATCAGAAGTTTGAAGCTATGTGCTTGGAGATGGATGATATGGTCTGCCAGGTATTTGTTAAAATTCATCATTTTGCTCTCGCAAAGTTAAAATACCGACACCTTTTCTGCTTTGATGTACTTCGATAAAGTTTCCTATCGGCGCCGTTATTTTCTGCATCGATGCTGCTAATATCTCATAATTTTGATGTTAGGAAACGTTTCAGTATGTTGAAGACCAGTTGCAGACTGTGGGAGCTAATGTTAAACAATTCTGTACAGAACTGATGCAAGAAGTGCTCCCTTCATCTCCTACCAATTCAAAGGAAGAACATGACTCATCTCTGGTGCAAAATGCCGATGTGGCCCATGAAGATTCTAACACGAGTGTTGATAAAGAGCGCATTAAGAAGAAACTGATCCATGCCTCTTCTGTTGAATATGTTGAGGATCCACATTTGTGTTTATCTTCAGAGCACTGTGCAGAGTATGAGTGTGCCTTAGCTAAAGCCTGCAAGCATGAAGCTTGGGACATCGATTGTACTCTAGATGACAACTTATTAGAATCGAAAGGTACATGTTCGTTTCATTTGTAAGATATATTCGACTATATTTTCCGTCGAGGTCGATTTTTTTCTTTATCCTGGATGCTCTTTGTTCATTCCCATATATGCTGCAAGCAGTCATTAACTAAGACTCAGGGTTAGATTAGCATAATCCGTCGCATTCAGTTCTGGAATCAAAGGAAGAAAACCACCATTTTTTAGTTAAAAGTGATTCTTTTGTACCATTATAATGGTGATTAAATGATGTTGCTGCAGAAGGGGCTAGCCATAAATCTGTTCCGATATTGGAACTAGAAGCTGTTCCAGTTCCATCTTTTAATAAGGTAAAACTTGAAGAAAGCTGCATTATAGTTGACAGCAGTGAGCTGTATTCTCTTTCGAATGAATTACGAGACTACCGATCATTCAAGGTAGGATACTCTTACCCTCCCTCGAACTTTCAGTAAATTCGGACTCCTCTCATATGTTTAGCTTGACATGAACATCTCTAGCACAGATGCTTAGTCGAATCTAACATTCCATGTTTTCTGGAACAGAAGAAGTTTTGGGAGGCTTTTTCTTCGAAATCGAGGTTATCGAAGCTGTACAACCAACGATGTCCAAGACCAAGCTAGGAGAAAGGAAACAACCGTGAACTATTCAGTGACACCAAGTTAAAATCACGAGATGGGGTTTTCTGAATCGGATAGGGAGATTATTTAGATAAAATTAAAATGGTTTTGAGAATAAAAACAGAGATAAAAGTTTTCCATGGGTTAAAAATGTATAGAGATGGAGAGAATTAAGCAGTCGAGTAAAAGCTTGATCAAACTTGTTTTTCTTCTGAATTGCAGTATTTGCTTGTATTCATTAATAAAATGATATTAAGATTAATTATAACTTATAAACAAGCATTAAATCAAATGCTCAAAGGATTATATATATTTTATATGTTTTACGCACACTTCTAGGGGTGTACACAAGTTAGGCTTGAGTATTATAAGTTTGACTTGATTGGAGAAGTTTAAAGTTGAGTTCAACTTGATTTGAAAGTTCACGATGTTAAAATTGTTAAGTTAGACTCGAATTTGAAATAAAAATTTGAAGCTTGAATAAAGATTGCGAGCTTAAAATTGTCAAGGTTGACTTGAACTTTAAATAAAAAAATTGAAGTTCGATTCAAGCTTGAAAAAATTTGTACTCGAAACATTCGTAGAGTTAGTTTGATTGAAGTTGAAATTCGAGTTCGGTTCAAGCTCGAACTCGAACTTAAATTTGAACCTTGAGTACATAAAAATCTTATATTGTATTTTTTATTAAAAAAACATATAAATGTTAGTATTATCCATTTCTAACACGTAACTCATAGCATTGATTTAGGAATTACCAGAAAACAGTTCTCAATTGGCATAGGAAACATTTTTTGAAGTTAAGGCTTGAAATGGAAGAAACTATTTTGCCTGCAGTTGATTTGTTTAGTCAGATGACCTTATTTTTATTAGATTGTGCTTGGGTATTATAACATGATTTGGAATGGAGATTAATATATGATATATCCTTGAATACAGATTCTGAGAAGGCCTAATGAATCATTCTGTTTCTGTAACGGAAGGTACTTCGTTTTGTTGTCAAGGTTTGTGTTTCAGTTCATTGAAGGAGTAATTGCTCCTGGAATTGCCGTGCCTCAAGTATTCCGAGCATTTGGTATTAATGTGGTAACCTGGTATAGGAAGCTGTTTCTATGATTCTTGTCTTTGGATTCAATCTGATTAGCAACACATTTAAGTACTACTTTTTATTTCTAGATTGGTACGGAAAGTTGTTTCTATGACCCTTTTGTTCTACAAGAAGTTGGCTCTTTTTTTTTTTTTTGCTTTACTGTTTAATTTTTCTTCCTGGTCATGGTAGTGTAGATTTGTTGCCCAAAGACGGTGACATTTCCGTAGAAATCCAAAGCTTGTCTTCGACAACCATAATCCGATTCTTATCGAACCATTTCTCATCATTGCCAGGGGAACCGTCTCATATGGTCAGTTTCAGAGTTAGTTCTAATAATTAAGCCAGTTTATTACGAGGAAAACCAGTCCTAGAGCTTGAAAAAAACCCTGCTATTTCCATGAGTTCCCTGGGGAAGCTTGTGTACTATCTTCTACCTTTGTCGACTCGAAACCCCATTCTCCTGATTAGTGTTACGATCCCAGTGATTCTTGTTGACGATGAAACCGTAGTGGTAGTCTCCTATCCTATGTATTTATATTCAACGTTTAGTGCTAATGACTAAGGTCCTCCCTAACCTAAACACTTAAAACATCTATATTATGGCGTTTCTTTTTATCCACTACTACTTCTATGATAACCCGCCTAAACACGGTTCTCTGCAGGTCGTTGTTAACTCCATAAATGACCCAAAGGTGGGCACCATTTTTGATCCAGTCATTGATAAATGCTTTTGGAACTGTGGTGAGCAGAGATACACGAGGACGAAGGACTAAATAGAACTCGAACCTATCATCGGTTCCACAAAAAGCAACATACTTTTGGGAGTAGGAAATCATTATATCAGATCCTTGTGAGGTATGTAGAATGTGTAACAATCTCTCTTCCGTTCATATTTTGTAACATGGAATTTTAATAAAATTTACATTTCAACATGTCAGAAAGTGGACATGATGAGCATCTCTGACCATTGTTTAATAGGGGAAAATTATCTTTTTCCTAATTCGAATGATTTGCAGCAATTTTGTCAATATTTGAGGAGCATGGTTTGAGCAGATGATGTTCCTTTCTTCAATTAATTAATGATTTCATTTAGTGGTTGTGTACATCATAGTCCATTGGTCATAGTTGAACATTCTTACGATGTAAAGTGGTGTAAAAGGCAAGTTCCCCAAGTGTACACGGTTCTCTTTTGCTACTGATTATTGGCTTTCATTAGAATTCAATGTCCCTACCTTATTTGAAAATGCTTTTTGAAATGTTGTACAAAAGTACAATTTAAAATTTAATTATTTGAGAATGATGTTAATTTTAAAAGATAAAATATTCATTATAGACATTATATTGTAAATTAAACATAAAACATTTAAATTATGTTTACACTTATATGTGAATCATATCAATTTAAACTATAATAAATTTAAAAAAATATTATTATATATTAATTATATAAATTTAAACAAAAATAAAAATAAAAATAAAAATATAATTATAATTATAATTATAATAAAAATATATTTTACATAACTCACTATTAATATTTTAATTTATAAATCATGAATTTTATTTATTTTAAATAATTAAAATAAATTATTAAAAGTAATACATTATTTTTTTAAGATATTAGAATCAAATAATTAAAATAAAATGTAAATACATAATTGAGTGGAGCTCGTGCATTAGTAAGGGTAAAATTATAATTTGCTTCCAAATGCAAAGTTGAAAATGAAAACACTATAAATCCTAGCTTTTTCGGTTGGTTTAAAACCACCGTTTCCATCATAATTTTTTTTATAACCCATTTGACATTGATTTTATGGTCAAAACAAGCTTTTTAACCAAAATTGCTTTCAGAAAATATTACCAAACAGACTCCAAATTTTCTTCATTTAACAACTATCATATTTACTTTTTATCTGTTTCCTTATATTTCTATCAAAAATAAAATTTAAATTCTTAAGAATCAAAATTTCATTTTAATTATTCTATCATTTTATACTATTAATTTCAATTATATATATAAACACACTTTTGATTATAAAATTGTCAAAAGTACTTGTTTACATTTTCTAATTAATTATATTTTTAAACATATATTTAAAATAAATATTTTTATTTTTACATCACCTTTTGACTGATATGTTATAGGGGTGTTCATAGTCGGTTAATCATACCACTTAATTTAAACGGTCAATTAATCGTTATAAATGTTATTAAATTTTTCTAATCTTAATCTAACTGTTAACAATGTTTAATCGTTATTGACGGTTTGATTATAAGTTAACCAAATACAATTTTCTTTTCAAAGGCAACACATTAACATGAAAGTTTCAAAGTTTCATAAAATTTATGATGCTAAAAATATATATATTGTAAAAATCTTATTTGTTTGTAGAGGTATTATATATATACAAAGGAGGTATATTCACTTTTTAATTCAATTTAAAATCTTACTTACATATTTGCTAATGAACATATTTGCTGAGATCAAGTTTAAATTATTTATTTCTTCCATCTATATTTGATTTAATGTGATCTAATATAAAATATATATGATAACTAAAAATATAAGGAGGAATCATTTCGATTATATTTCTAGTTTTATTCTATCTAAAAAAATATAATTAATTATAATTTATTAATGATTAATCGATGATTAACCATTTATATAAATTCATGATCGTAACTATTAACCGATACTTTTAACGGTTTGGTTAACTGAAAACGTTTATTATTAACAGTCTGATTAATTAACCTATAAAATATAACAATTACACCGGTTAATGATTACTATGAACATTTATATGTTAGTTTGAACACTCCTAATAGGTTAAATAGGCCTGTAAACGAACCGAACGCACACGAACGGAGGTATGCTCATGTTCGTTCATTTAATAAATAGACGAACATAAACGAACACGAACATAAACGAACAAATTTTTTTTTGTTCATGTTCGTTTATTAAGGAATATAATTTGTTCATGTTCGTTCATTTAATAAATAAACGAACATAAACGAACACGAACATAAACGAACACGAACATAAATGAACACGAACATAAACGAACATAAACGTTGGAGACCCTACCTTCCATTGTTCTTTCATGAAAAATAGTCGACAATGCAAATCAACCAAATCTACAGTGATAAATAGCGTAAGAGTTGATTAGCAGTGATGAAATGTTTGAAGATATCAAATATTTCGATTGATCTTTTAAAGATATTAAATGATTCACACAACTTTAATTTAACGCTATAACATTTATCTTAGTGGTCCATGATTACATATGAACAATCATTTTCTCCTATTACACTCTTTTTCAGAAATTGCATAGAAACCTTTGTTTTGTTTTCTGGCAAATTCTATATATTTTTCTCTTTACTGATGCTCGTATACTTCCGATTGTTACCTTTATATTCCCATCTATTTCTAGAAAGAAGTATGATGTTTTCTTGAGTTTTAGATGTGAAGATACCTGCAATAACTTTACATATCAACTATTAAGCCAAATAAAACAGAGAAAGAGATGAAAACAAACATGTAAAACTTCATATTGCACTATAATATAACTTGTTTTGAAGCTTTCAGCGATCGTCTCCACTCTCTAGTGAACACTAGGGTTTGGGAAAAAAAGGGGGAAATGAATATAGGTGCGAGGTGCCTCACAGGTTAACATATTGGATTTAATCTCCAAATAAAATTGGATTAATTATGGAGTTGGTCATCAGAATATCATATTAATTAATATTTTTAAGATACTTACAAATTGGTCACCAAAATTGATTTAAGAAGATTGGGTTAAACATAAATGAATGAACATAAACGAACATAATCGAACGAACATAACCGAACGAACATAATCGAACGTTCACGAACGTAAATGAACGAACGAGACCTATGTTCATGTTCGTTCATTTAATTAAACGAACAAAAAATCTTGTTCATGTTCGTTCATTTAATAAATTAACGCACATAAACGAACTTCCCACCGCACGGTTCATGAACGGTTCGCTGAACGTTCAGTTCATTTACAGGCCTAAGGTTAAACATTTAATTTAGCGAACCACACTTTTATAGTAATTTTGAAAAATATTTTTTAAAAAATATTTTTTTAACTCGATATCAAAAAAAATTAAACTTAGACTCTTATATGTCATATTTTCACGTCAGATGTCACACCACCTTATTTAAGTCTAGAAAAAGAAAAACTCAATTGATTAAGATTTTTTATATAAAAAAGAATATGTAAGCTCAAATTAGGTGACTGTAGTTGAATTTAGTGTGTTAAATACATATTTTATGTTGTTTGATAATATGATTTAATTTCGATTCGATTCTAATCAAGTTTTGATTAGTCGTATGATATTCTTAGTCCTAACTAAGTTGAATTGAGGGTGTTACAATCAATTTATAATTCACCTTATCTGGTGTGGGTAAAATGTTATTGGTGGGAAGAGATCCAAATTAAGAGGGATGAGGTTATGTGAGTAATAGATCAGAGAGAGGCAAATTATAACTTTTAAAATTAATTTATAAAAGTAAAAAAATATTGTTTATATTTTATGAATTTTTAAAATTATCTCATATATATATATATATATATATATTGATTTTAAAAATATAAATAAAATATTTTCATATTTTTAATAAATAATTTCATATGTTTTATAAATATTTTCAGATTTTTATATTCCTTAAATTCAAATTGAAATCATCATTAAGAAAATCCTAAAAATATTACAAATATTTACTTTTTAAATTTTTACAATTCGATGACTGAATTTTTTAATTCACTAATAGTTATTTTTTATTAGTATGAGATGAATATAAGATATTATCTACTCGAAAAATTTTCAATTATTTGAAAATAAACGTTCATACACCTTTACAGATATCATATTCAAACTCAAACTCTCAAAGATAACAACAATAAACAATATCTTAATTATTGAAGTGGTTTGGTTATTGCATGGTCCCCGTTAGAAGAAAAATCCCTCTAAAGACAAGACCACGTGTTTCACTCACCACTAATGAGTGAAGAATTAATATTCAGAGTCAAAGAAGCTTATTCTTTGATAATAGTAAAGCCAAAACCTAAAGGAAACACAAAAAGGGTTATATTCAGTTATTGGGCCATTGTATTCTATCATAAATACAAATTAAGGATTGCGACTGAGGTGATTTATTTATCGTTATAGTAATTAGATGACTATTATAATTATACATGAATTTTGGTCAATTTTTATATTGTATAATTGTGTGGGTAAAGTTTACAAGATAAAAATGATTGTATATATTTATTTTTTAAATGTGTAAAATTGAATTAAAATCAAAATTTTATTATGTACAATTTAACTCCAAGAAAGTTTCATGTGTATAGTTATAAAAAATCAAAATTTATTTGTAAACATTACTAGTTTGATTGAAGTTATGTGTAGTTTTCATATTTTTCCTTATAATTCTTTTTGCTTGATAAAAATTTATATTAAATATTATTAAAAACCTAAAAAAAATCTAGAGGAAGTGCATATGCATTTAAGACACGTGCATTAAGATTATAATCATATTCATGTGTTTAAGAAAAGTGCGTACTAAGGAGAAAGAGTGGCTAAAATAGTCCATTCATGAAAATTTCAATTTCCCTTATATTTTAAATATTTTTCTATGTATTTTTCTTATGAATAATCTATTTTCTCTCTTTAAATTTTATAAATTTACCTATAACATAAAATTTTGTGTTCATCTCTACATTTGTACGAATAATTGAGTATAGAAATTGATTAATATATAATCCAAAACATCGCATTATCATTAACAGGGAGTAGGGACCACTGGTAGCCATAGTGCGAGCTTCCAAAGTTCGACGTTCAAAGGTGTAATAGAGTATATACACAACTATCCGACATCTACATGTCACTTACAGTCAAACTTTTGAACATCTAGATCGTCCTTACAGTCAAACTTTTGGATAATATTTAACTTATGCCATTTACGAAAGATTTTGGGTTTAAATTTTATAGATGAAAAACAATATTCTCTAAAAGTTTTGCCTCTTAATTAAGAATTTGATTCAGTTAATATTTTTTTAGAAAAAAATATATATTTCATTTTAATGAATCAAATTGTGTAGTATTGTTTTATCTCTTCCAAATTTCCTTCACAATTAACCACTCCAATGATCAAAGCCCTAAAGGAGTTCTTCGAAAGGTCTCCTCCATCAACTTATGAATTCCGAGGTTCATGCCTTTTGACCAATCATATTCTTTTGAAATTACCTCTTATAAGTCCACGTACTCTATCAGAGTTATATTTACTGTCAAGGGATCATATTTATTTAACTTATCAAATTACGAAGCAATTGATTTCGATGGTTAAGGAATCACTATTATTACTTGAGGTTTTGGGTTCGAGAATCAGGAATGCCAAGGCATGAGCGTTCAATATCAAATAGTTGAAAGTTATATTTGAACAAATACTACCTTATACTTACTTCATATTAATACTACCTTGCACTTACATTCAAGGAATGTGCTTAAAGAGGAGCCTAAAATTTAAATTATTTTATTTTATTTTATTTTATATTTACGCATTTGAATGTGGAATTAATAGTGAGCTTTAGAATGAAATTATAATATTTGTTTATTTCAATTGAAGTAGGAATTGGTTGTTTGAAGGCATAAGAAGTTGATTCTTCTCGATAGAAAATAATTAAATATTATTGTGTTTCGTCCTAAAATTCAAAGAATATCATTTAAAGGGATCTTAAATTAAATTAAATCCGAACTTGTAAATTTCATTGCAAAGATAACTAATTAATCGACTTGGTACCGATTTAGGGCATTGTGGGGCTAATCCTTCCCCACGCATAACCGACTCTCGAACTCAAATTTTTGGTAATGTAGACCGCAAAATTGTTGTTTTAATCAAAATTAATATTTTTTATTAAAATGACAAGTATATTTTGGGTGCCCAATCACACCCTAATCAAATATTGGTGGCGACTCCTCGAACCATGTTTTATTTTTATTTTTAAAAGGAGACGTCAAATTAATCGAGACGAGATTTTTTTAAAAATTAAATTTGTTTTTTTAAGAAAAATCGTTTCCACAATGTTTATGTAATAACCAAAATTTCAGTTAGTGACCAAAATGTAAATTTTGAAAAAATTGATAGTCAAAGTAGAAAATTAGGAAAAGTTTAAGGACCTAAGTAATAATTTTCTCAAAAAGAATTTTTATTCATAAATGGATTTGGTTAGTGATCAATTTGTAAATTTTGAAAGTTAAGTAGTCAAAGTATAAACTTTGGAAAAATTATGAAACTATAGATGTTTGAATAAAACAAAATTTTATTCAGTTTAAATAAAGAAATATTTTGAATTTCTGATGCGACATCTGTAACTCGTATTGGTTCGCATATACGGATTATGGGTGTTAGAGTTTATTTGGCTCGTAGTGATTGCTCTTGGTTTCTGAAGGTGCAATTGCAGGGGTGATAATTGTTGCTTGGTGCAGGCTGTACTATTTCTTGGCTGTTTGTGTGGCCTGCCAGAAGTATGATTTAGGGGCTGAAGATTTTATTGTCGAGCTGCTAGTGCTGGAGCTTACCCTATCCAGTGGATTTGGGATCCTATATGATGTTAGCTTCTTTCGGTAGAGTGTTATTTGCCTAATTATAGCGTATTGTGCTGGTTTGTATGTTTTGTGTAGACAAGCTTGTGTCGTATTGTAGCCGTTGGCTTTGAATCTTTATTTTCATTGTTTAGGGCACTATTTTCCTTTCAATTAGGTTTAGGGAAGATTTTTAATGAGGCCCTATAAATGTTTTTTTTGTATGATTTTTTCGGTTTATTATACAAAATCCCCTTTCAAAAAAAAAAGTTGTATGATAAACCCTTTCCTTATCAATCATAATCTACCACTTAAATGAAATGAAATTAAATTTTGTTGCGAAGATAATTAGTACAAATATCTTTTGTGGCCAATAAGAAGGATTGCCATTCCAATTGAGGCTATAAATAGAGAGCTCATATGCTTTGGTTCTTCACTTCAACTCAGGCTTGACCAGTGAGCAATGGCTTTCACCCTCAAATAAAGTTCTTTATTCTTATGTTTATTTCCTGTAGGGCTCTGGCATCTGCCATGGATGAAACCACCGTTGCTGAGAAATACCAGCAATGGATGGTTCAGCATGGACGATCCTATGCGATGCAGGAAGAGCAGACTATGCGTTTCCAGATATTCAAAAACAACCTGCAATTCATACATAACTTCAATAACATGGAGAATCAAACGTACATGTTAAGCCTCAATGAATTTGCGGACTTAACTAACGAAGAATTCCTCATGAACTACGCGGGATACAAGTTATCCCCAAGCGAAAATTCACTTAAAACTAAAAGGTTTCGATATGAAAATCTGACTAATGTTCCCCACAGCATTGACTGGAGGAAGAAATGGGCTGTCACTGAGATTAAGAACCAAGCTTCTTGTGGTAAGAGATGAAATTAGCTCTATTTGTTTAACAATGTGTTTGGTGAAACAATGATCTGTTGTTTAACTATGTGTTTTGCCTGTTTATACAGGAAGTTGTTGGGCATTCTCAGCTATCGCGGCAGTCGAAGGCATCGTAAAGATCAAAACGGGTCACTTATTCTCACTCTCCGAGCAACAACTGGTGGATTGCGCCAGGACAAAAAAGTCTCGAGGCTGCGATGGTGGTTATATGGATGATGCGTTCAAATACATTGTTAAAAACCAGGGACTCGCCAAGGAATCGAAATATCGATACACTGCGAAAGATGGGAATTGCAGTCGTCGAAAGGAAACATTCAGAGCAGCACGGATCCATGGATACGAGGACGTACCTCGTGAAAACGAAGAAGCACTCTTGAAGGCCGCGAGCCAGCAACCGGTCTCGGTGGCCCTTGATTGCAGTGGATACGGATTTCAGTTTTACTCGGGAGGTGTTTACAGAGGACCATGCAGGACCAGTTTAAACCATGCGGTTACCGTTGTCGGGTATGGAACAAGTGAGGCTGGGATCAAGTACTGGTTAGTGAAGAACTCGTGGGGCAAATCTTGGGGTGAAAATGGTTACATGAGGATCGAGAGAGATGTTCATTCCAAGAAAGGGCTTTGTGGCATCGCCAAGATACCTTCCTACCCAGTTGCATGAATATGTATGTATTTATGTGTATAGCACGTTCAAGGGTTACACGTAGCCTCACAATTTCCCCTATGAATCGGTACTATATGCATGAAAATAACGTTGTTGTATGACTGTTTAATGTTTATAATGTCAATTAGCTTTCCATTAAAACAAATAAAATGGTGTTATGGTGGCCAGTCTATATAAATACCGTATAGAAGTTTTCATGCATTTCTTTTGGTATCCATGAAAATGAGTAGAATAACCTTAATTAACTTAGCATCTAAAAAGAAGCAAATGCATGAAAGAGGTCTCTGACCAATGTTTTACCAGGGGGAAGTGATAGATTATTTGGCATCTTCTTCAAATGATTTGCAGTCACTACATCGCGTTATCTGACCACACAACATTGGTGCAAATGGTGTTCCTTTCATTTCTTTAATTATTCATTGATTTCATTTTGTCATTGTATAAATTATTTTTGTTGATGTATAATCGATAGTGTGGTTCTTCGGGATAAAAAATAACATGATTACATCGTAAATTAGTAGTTTATCCTTTTTAATATAGATAGAGAATAAGTAATAAATATTCAGATTAAAAGATATATATAATTTTGAGAGTAATGAGTCAAAGAGAGTTCAAGAAAGAAAAAGAAGAGGGAAAAAAAATTCTGTCCTAGATGAATTATGTTATATATTCAAATACATAATAATCACATGATCATTCATTGGTAGGACGAGATATAATACATAGAAAGTAGATATATAAATACATCCAACTATATTGATTGTTAATTATTTAATCATGCGAAAGTGATTTATTATATGTTAAGAGTGATCTTAAAGTAGTCAATGAGGGTTGACACAAGTGGTTGAGATTAATGAATTTAAGTTTGTAAATCTATATTTTAATCCTACCACCGTCACTTTTAATAGGCCTTAGCTCTAAACCGAGGAGTCACCTCTGACCTAAACTTTAATTTACAAAAAAAAAGCCTCTTAAAGTAAAATCCCTATAAAATAACGAAAAGTATAATACTTTTCGTGAAAATATTAGTCTATTGTATAGTATATAGTTGATTTTTTTAGAATGTAGTAAAATGTGATATAAAAGATAAATTCTCATATCTACACGATTGTGAAATGGACTATGATGTCTTTCTCCGAATAAAAATTAGGGTAAAGTATATAAATGGTCACATGACTATATGGTGTTACTTTGTCAAGTCCTCCAACTATTAAAAATTACAAAATGATCTTCTAACTATAGGATGTTGCTTTGTTAAATTATCCGACTATTAAAAGTTATAAAATGGTCACCTAACTATTCATTATGTTCTAAATTCTTCATTTTTTATTAAAAAATTGACAATAGTCTGAGCTAGATGTTAATTTATGGTCTGGGATATGATAAAATATGATCATACAATCTCAAACGACTATCATATCTTAGACAATAGATTAATATTCAGCTCAGACTGTCGTTAATTTTTAATAAAAAATGACGAGTTTGGAACATGATGAATAGTCAGGTAATGATTTTGTAACTTTTAATAGTCGGGGGACTCAATAAAGCAACATCTTATAGTTGGGGATCATTTTGTAACTTTTGATAGTTAAGGACTTAACAAAACAGTATCATATAGTTAGGGGACCATTTGTTTACTCTAAAAATTATTTGATTAAAAGAAAGTAGGATTATTTAAGGTTTCGTTTGGTTGTTTGAGAAATTGGAAGAATAGAATTAGGAGAAAACAATAGGGAAAAAAAAGATTTTGAGTGTGGTACGTAGAAAATAAAAGTAGTGAGAAATTAAACCAATGTATAAAATCAAATCCTTTCAATTTGAAAACAAAAATAAAAGAAAAAATTTTAGAAAAAAAATAAATTGGTTTAAAATCATGTATTTTTCATAGCTTTATTTTTTTTTTCTTTTTTTTTTCTACTACAACAACCAATGAATAGAGAAAAATTATATTTTCTTAAATTTTGTATTTTTTACCAAACATACTAATAAAAGAAAAATATAGTTTTCCATATTTTTACTTTTCTATTCATCTAATTTTATTTATGTTCTACAACTATTTTCATGAAACATATGAGAATTGACTGACGAGTAGGTTGTAAATGAGACGAGATAGATTGTAGTTACTGGAGATCGATTCAGTTAAAATTCGATAAATATTCAACTCGAATGGACTCAAGTTTTTAAAGAATCGAAATGAGCTACTTGATACTCAACTCGAAAAGTTCGTGAGCAGCTCGAAAATATAATATATTAAAATTTTATTTTAAAAAATAAATTATTAATAATATTAACATTTATGTGTTGATTTTTTTTAGAAAAAATATATTGTAAGGTTTTCATGTATTTAATGTTCATATTCGAGCTCAAGTTTGAGGATTTAATCGAGTTAAGTTTAATATTTTTTTTCTTTTCAAGCCTTTTCGAGCTTTTACGAGCTTCAGTTCATGATTTCGAGTTCAAGTCGAGCTTGAAAATTTTAGTATCTTGAGTTTTCGAGTCGAGTCGAGTCTATTTCAAAGTTTTCGAGTTGAGTTTCATTTCAGAGTTTTCGAATCGAATTGAGCTTAGTAATACTCATATTCCACTCGGCTCATTAACAGCCCTTCGCGAGATAATCCAACACATAACATCATTGGTTACGGGACCAATGCTATGGCGCCAACTGTCTAAAGATCAATATTCCAAAACAAAAACAAAAAAAACTGTCAAAAGTTGAACGTTCAAAGATGCAATAGAACGTGAAGATTGATACCTTTTATAGTCAAATTTGTCTTGGAGCATCTGATTTTGATACATTGTCTTAAGTTCCAATATTCATAATTAAGAATTTCATTTGTGTTATGATCAATTAATTCGTCAGTGATATTATTATTATTATTTTCTCAACAATAAGATTTATATATTAGAAAATAACCATAGTTAAGAGCCTCATTAAAAACCTCTATAAACTTATATGGAAGAAAATAATACTTTTAACTCAGAGCAAGATACAAAACTTCGAGAACAATAACGAGACATACACCACTACCGGTAATATGGCCCCTTCAAAACAAAACAGCATTCTAAAACACTTCTACTAACTCGGTAGGAAGACACAAGCATCGAACCACAATCATAGGGAAGTAAACCAATCTAGAAAGACTAGGAAACAGCAACCACCGCCTTGGAAAAGAGAACAGGAAAACGAATTCCCTTATTGAAACAGGACCTTGCCAAAAAAAAATCCATGTACCCTCCCCAAACGCTCCCTGCAACAACTTAGTTTTGAGGTGAAAACTGCTTATTGCATCTAATCCCACCACTCTTTGAACATATTTGGACGGGACAGTCCTTGTTTTGCCAAATTGATTCCACCACTACCAACGTCTCAAGGAAATGGAGTTAATCGCTTAATCCAGTTCAGGACAGTTTAAGAGTCCGATTCTACGATTAAAACCCACTTACCGATCCAGTTAGAATCCAAGAGTAATTCTAATGCCTTTTAACGTCTTGATATTTATCTTGGAAATGTAAAGTCTCTTTAATAAAAACATTCATTTGTGTTAGCAGAAGCAAAAGTTGTCATTTTATATCAGTTCATGGTATTGGATCTCATATTGCATTATTTTCTACATAATAATGTGTATATAGTAGGGTAAATCACTTATTTACATTCAATTTTAAGCATTCTTTTTTTTGGTATAACCATCGGTATCTGATCTATTGATCGACTAATCCAAATTGAGTACTGGAGAGGCAAATGCGACCCTCCCAGGCCAGTTTACTACATTCGCAAGCACCAGGATTCGAACTCCTTACCTTACTTAATGGATCTAATGCCTCATCTCACTAGATTAACATGTCGTCGTATTTTTAAGCATTCTTTAAATGTGTAGATGTTCTATTCAGAAAATACATATAGATGTTTTTTTTATTAAGATAAGGTGATTAAAAAATAGTATATGTTCTAAATATTTTTATTCATTGATAATGAACGCTCAAACACCTTTGTTACAAACGTTGATGCTCAAACTCGAGATCTATGGAAATCATAATCATTTTTTTAATCATTGAAAGAAATTAGTTCGTGCATATAAATGCTAAATATATAAATATAAATGATGTGAATAAATGATGAACAAGATAAAAAGAAATTCCGTATATATTTTTATGGGATAATGGCACAAATAGCTATTCATGTATTATCCTTTGAAATCAACCTGGTTCTATATATGTATATAGTAAACTATTAAAATTTTAACTTTTGTCTCTGAGTTTAGAAAAGTGATTTATTTTTTAATCTAACATAGTTACAAGATAATATATATTCTGAAGATCATCAACAATTTGGCAATCAAAGCTTAAAACTCATGTAGTTTCTGGTTCATACGTAATTTATTTATTATTTATATTATTTATTTATATTTTTTAATTATTTACTTACCCATTTATAACATTTTGATTATTCGAATGTTAAATGTTAATTTGATGATGTAACACATTAATTATGTTTTCTTTAGGTCATAATTTTTAGATCTATTAGGAGCACTCTTCTTACTTCTCATAGAGTACCCTTTCCTCTTTCTCTAGGTAAGATTAGAATTAGATTTAGAATTTGTCAAAAAAAAAATACATATTAGTAATAGGGTTAATTATGAGTAAAAAGGGTTATTTTTACTTTAACCTCTGAACTTGTGATAACATATTAATTTAACCTTTAAACTTTAGATAATATATCAATTTAACTCTTAAAAATTAGATAAAATATCAATTTAATCCATAAATATGATTAAAGTCTCATTCGTTAACCGTGCTCACCACCACCATCATCGATCACTGTTGATCGCCATTGGTCGCCATTATTGGTGATCATTAGATCCTAAAATTTTAAATTTATTTATTATTTTCTTCTTGAACGCAAATTCAATGTACATTTCATCAAAAAATATCTTGATTTCACAAATCTAACATAGAATCATTGTGTATAAAAAAATAACATAGAATCATTAGAATCCATTAAGTGACCTCAGTGGTAAAGAGAATGTTGTTCTACCTAGAGATCCTATATTCAAGCATATGGGTTTGTAAGATGTGTGTCAATAAATTAAATTTTTTTGAACATATATATCTTGTAAT